TAGTGTTTATCCAAGAAGAAGAAGTTGTCAAGGAAGCTTGGAGTGTCATTTGGCTTCAAGAACCTGCATATTGTCGACCTTGAGGAGCTTCTGGAGGTATAAAGCTTGCACCTTTCCATTTAAATCACTAGATCTAGATAGGATTTTCTAGTTTTGTTCCTTTGGTTGGTTTTGGACCTCCTCTTGTGAGCTAAGCAACTCCAAAGGATGGAAATGACAGATCTGAGGTCCCTTAGTCCTTTTCCAACATAAAAATGGAGTCTTGGTGGGTATTTTGACCTCATGCATGGGTTAAGAGCTTTAAAAAGGTCTTAATGAGGGTGTTGGGAGCATATGGGACATGCAAAGGCATAAAGTTGCCAACTTTATGCCTTAGGTCGTCTTAAAAGGCTTAGATCTGACTTCTGGACGTAAAAGAATTGAGTATTAAGCACTTAATGGAAAAAGTGCTTAATCTGTTAGTACGCTGGGCGTAACCCAGTATACGTTGCGCGTAAGCCCCAGAACCCCAGTACACTGCGCGTACCAGGATGGTACGCTAAGCATACGTATCACAATTGGGCTTGGATCTGTTTTGGGCTTTTGGACTGTTGGGCCTCATTTGGGTTTTGGAATTTGATGTATTTTGAGAATAGTGGGCCATTTTATCTGTTTGGGCCATTGGTGTTGTGATTGGGTCTTATTGGGCCAAGAGGCCCATTAATGATTTTTGGTCATGGACTTTGGGCCCATTAACAAAGAACGGATATTTGGGCCTTCCTGGAAGGACTTGGGGTTTGGGTTTTCCCTTTTATTGTGATGTCCTAACATGGGTTAATATTATTATTCAGCACAGGAGGTTACCGACTGTTAGGAGAGCAGCTTTCGCATTCAGCAGACAGAGGTGAGTCTTCTCACCATACCGATGGGTTTAAGGCACCAAGGCTGGCCCATTATGTGATTATGTTTATGTGTTAGTCATTTCAGTGATTTGATATGCTATGTGATTGTGTGTTACTGGATGTAGGACCATGTGGGGTAGCCCATGGAATTCATAGGTAAAGACCATGTGGGGTAGCCCATGACATTGGATGTAAGAGCATGTGGGGTAGCCCATTGCATTCCTAGGTAAAGACCATGTGGGGTAGCCCATGGCACGAAGGTGTAAGACCCTGGGGGGAGCCCATGACATCCTTACATTTTTATGTATGCATGGGTTATGTGTTATATGTAGCTTTTATAGTTAACAGGATATGTGATATGTGTATTGTGTGTGGTATGCTCTGGGAAACTCACTAAGCATTTAGCTTACAGGTTGTGGATTTGTTTCAGGTACTTCAGATCCCAAGGGAAAAGGCAAGGCATGATGACGCGGCGTGCGCTCTCTCCTATGCGTTTTTATGGACACTCTGATGTTGGAATAAAAGTTATATTTGACATATGTTTTGAAAAAAATTATGATTGAATTTCTTAAATCATGGAAATGTATTTGACTATTTAAAAATGAAAAAAATTTCTTTGAAAAATTGGGTCGTTACAACTCAAGAACCTATAAATGAAAGTGATGAGGCCAATACTGTTGAATCTTCAAATCCTAACTCTTCTCAGGGAGGTCCAAAGAAGGTTCGCAAAGTACACTTTACTAGGAAAGGAGTTCTATTTCATGAAGTTCCGGTTCCTGGATCAATAACATCCAAGAAGCGAAGAGCTATTGATATGGATCAAAAGTTAAACAAGAAGAAACGTGCAGCTCAAGTACCACTTGAAAATGTGACAGTCGAAATGGAGCATGGCAGTAACAGTTACATGTTAGATATTCAAATCGAGGATTCATATCATGGTTCACCTTGAAGGGATTCTCGTATTGAGTCGAATTTAGAGGAGATATAAAATTCTGATGTCAATGTAAACATGTCTAACATGGATACAAACATCAATTCGAGTGATCCACAAAACACCAATTTCCCTGAGAAGACTATTGTCAAACTATCCGGGGTTTCGAATACCGAGTCCAATATGGATAAGGTAGAAACTCCAGACATCACTATGGACTTATCTAATAAGGACACAAATGTCAACATGGATGAAAGGATGCAGAACAATGAATCCACTATCACTTCTTCCATCGAAACATCTACCATCAAAACTTCAATCGTCGAAACTTCAACAACTTTACCACCACCTGTACCACCACCTTCATCCCCTATTCCAACTTTTGTTCCTGTTTCGAAAATATGACCAACTTATTTGGGTATCATGCAAGAACCTATTACCACTCTCTTTTCATTTTAATCAACTGAAAAATCACAACCAAAACATAAAGCTGATGATGATGATGTTATGGTGTCTTTTGCTGAACTTCAGTTTGATCCAGAGGAGGATAATATTCCTGATGAAATGATCAAATCAAGAAGACAATTTAAGATTTTAAACTCCGAGATGAATTCGATTTTACAGTTCTTGGCTGATACAGGAAGCAATCATTCAGTAAGTGGATTCGAAGTTGATTCTCTTCTCAAAGCCCAAGACTCTCGATTGCAAAATCTTATAGATGGTGTTGACAAGCGAAATGATGAAAAGATTCGCAATCACTCTCAAATTCTTACGGGTGAAGTTTCTCAGCTTTGTGATGTTTCTAAAGAAAGTCATGAGCTTTTTGCAAAACAACTTAAGGAAACGAAAGTCTGTTTGCAGACTCAGATTTATGATATTCGAAAGTTGTTGGAATCTGAGGTTAAAACTTTTTTTGAAAATTCTTCGACACTATATAAGAAGATTGATGTGGTAGCTGAAGCGTCAACCCGCTTGATTGAAGACATTTCTTCGTTCAACAAAGATTACACAGTTGGTCTTCAAGACAAAGTGAAAGAGGACGCTCAAGTATTTACCAAAGTGGAAGAGTTCTTATCCGAAATCAAAACCATGTTTTTGGCTTAATCGACAATTTCTCCATAATCCATCTCTCAAATGGTTTCTAACATCAAAACAAAGATTAAGACTAAATTGGATCCGATAAAGAGGTTTGTTCTTTGACTTCCAATAAATGCTCCTTATGCAATGCATGTATCGCAAGGGGGAGAAGGAGGGTTTGGTTTGTCGAAGGAGACAGGTGATAACTTTGGAGTTTTTGTGGGAAAGGTGATAAGTACTCAAATCCTAACAACTATTTCAATGAAGCCCATAAATTCAACTTCTACAACAACTACAACAACAACAACAAGAGCTTTGAAAAAAGGAATCTCAATAAATGAAGGACCAGGAGGTTCAAGTTCATTCCCGAACAAATCAACTTCGAATGTTGATCCAAATGATAAAGGGAAATCAATCACAGTTGTATAATCAGAAGAAGAGAAGAAAAAGCAACATGCCATCGAAATCGAAAAACAAAGGCAGATAAACAACATTCTAAGGCGAATAGCAAATGGCCCATATGCCTTGAACAAGGGTGATCCCAAAAACCAGTGGTGTTATGAAACACTAGAAGACATTGTTTCTATTGGAATGAATGATGATTTTTGAAAAGTTCCAAAGAAGAGCTACGACATAGAAAATTTTGATTTTAATCAGCTTGACTTTCCGATCAATCATATGCTGTTCATTTCTTCACAATTCAAGATCGTAAAGAACTTCAATGATAAGGATGAATTCAAAAGATTGAAGATTTGATTTCACGTAGTCTTGGGGAAAAATGAAGAAGAGGTGTGGTCTCCAGTGAAGATAATCATAGTGATGACCATCATTCGTGACAGCTTGTTCGAAGGACCGCTACAAAACGTTTGTTATGTTGTTGTAAGAGAAAATAACGTTATTTCTGAGTTCACAATAACAAATTTTCCATTGATGAACTTGAATGATTTGGTCACGGTCACAAATATTTTAAGAAATGTTGATGTGTCGAAGATAGTAGAGGCCAATAAGGATGATTTTATTATTGGGTTTGGTCACATCGAAGTATTTATTGACAACTACTATGACTACTTGGTGATCACAGATATTGAACTTGCCACAACTGTTAAGAATCCATCGAAAGTTCCTTAATCTTTTTTTGAAGGGAAAGTTGAATATTAATGAGTTTTGAAGATGTAGAAATCATACATCAACCAATGGGTGTTGTGTTTCGTGGAAAGAACAAGAAAGGGCAAATGACGAAGTTCTTGTTTCAGATTTGTGATCTTGAGAGGTACACAAACTCTCAGTATACTAATCTCCTTATTCGAATCAACAATTGCAAGAATAATGACAGTGAAGACAAAGCTGAGATTCAAAAAACCGTTCTATAGTATATGGAGATTCGAATTGAACTTCTATAGACTCTAGAGATGATTGCATAATTTCGACTTCTCTTACTAAGGGGGAGATTGTAGGGGTCGAACATATATAGTTAGGAGTCGAATTGGTCAGAGTCTGTAAAGTGTTGAAATCAAGATGACTTCAACACACTATCTATTTTACAAGTCATAGTTATTTCGATATGGTAATGTTTAGTCCTTGTAACTTTTTGTGAGTCTGCTGTATCCTATACATAGGGTAGGTGCATAGAGTAGAGTAAGATTCGAACACTTGTAGAATTCACTTGTACTCTTTTCTCTCGTGTACTCATTCAGACTAATCAAGCTAAACAAACATTATTTAGATCTTGTGTTCTTTTACATCTTTAAATATCTTAATCGTTTGTGTCCGTAATCAATCCTAACTCACTAAAGTCATACGAATGCAGTTTGGTGATCTGGTGAATCATGACCCGACCCTGCTCCTGAACTAACCATCGCAGAGCACAATGTGATTAAGAGACTCATCACTAGTTACCTCATTTGGTCTGACCATGATGAGTCAACCTTGGGGTTGGCTAATTTAGACAGTAGTTACGGGGCTCCCACTGCAGTTTCGGTCCTGAATTTGAGAGTGCATGATCTTTACTTACTGGAACGACTTCATTAGTAGCGTTGGTCTAAAGGCGTAAAGGTGGGAAGTTCGTCTACTCCCAAATCTGACCCATCACCCGATGTCGATGCCAAGGGTGAATGGATTCTGTCATTCCCGACATCCTAACAAAGTCCATTGGTCTTACCCCTTTATCCTCTGAAAGTACTCATAACAAGCCTCTACCAGTTCCTCCAAACTCGTCATCGAAAGGGGCTTCTGGTGCCGATCCTCTTGGGGATCACAAGCATGGATTTCGACCTTCAGATTCTACGGATACTAGTGGTATTCCTCCCCTATCTTCTCCTAAGAAAATGTGTACTTCTCGTTCTTCGTCTAATTGAGGTATAGGGGTTTCCAACACCGCGTCTAACCTTCCACCAATCACTCCTACTTCGATCGATGAGGCTTTTCACGACTACTTGGTAACTTAGGATCATGCCTTAGTTTCCACTATAGATTCAATTTCATCCTTTCCTAAGGCTCCTCTAGTATCTTTAGAAGCCATAGTCCGCCCGACCCCGATTCAATCAGATTCCTTGGTTATTTCTACTAAACTAATCCCTAGTGGTTCAGACGCCATGGTTCATCTTTGTAGGGGTCATCTTGCAAAGCTTATGTTTCTTCAGTGGCTATTCAACTCTTTTGCTCCCCCGACTTCTGATCCCCCAGCTTCTACCGCCGCTCTAGTTGTTACTCCAGTTGTTTCGATATCTACTGAGGCTCCATCAGATCTTGCTAATGTTATTAACCTAGACTCCCTGATTCCTGATATGGATGTGACATATGTTAATTCCGCCGGACCTCTCCCTGGTTCCTCTTCTTCTGAGCTTTTGCCTCCTCCAAAAAACGGGTAAGTACTTCTTCTTTGTCTCATTCCTTACCCTTTTTTTGAAAAGAAAAGAAATGATATCGAACTATTAACAAGTGGTACCCCTTCTTTTGTTCCAACAGCTTCACATGCTCTCCCTAGATATAAGAAGTCTCGATAAAATGCGAGAACGAGAGTAAAATAAATACTCTCTGGTCATCTGTAGCTGGTTGATTTTGTCACAAAACTGTATGAACAAGTACCAAAGTAACGATAACAACTCTGCATGAAAAATCTCTATTGTGCTGAAAAATGCTGATGTACCCAAACTACGGTGCCGAAACTCCTAAAGCGGTCTTCAATAAATAAAGTCCACTTGCTCAAGACACATGGTTTGTCAACCGATGATCAAGAGCTATAAGTCATAAAAATTATGATAAAGAGAAGATTGTGAAGCAACTTGGTTGATCAGACGCAACTGTGGTGCAAAATCTCGCAAAGAAAAAATACGATGTTCGACTGTGGTATGGAGGATAACTGGTCTATAGACATTGATCCAAGGAATGCTGGTCGATAGACCTTGATTAAAGGAAATCATCATGCACAAAATTATAAAATTCATCCAATATAATCAGCAAGAAGTAATCCATCATGACGATCGAAGCTTGAATAAATCTCAAATAATAATCTCTTTTGCGAAGACAATAAATCGAGCCATGTTAAAATCATTATTCGCAAAAGTGCTTTCGATCATAGGTTGCGGTGGTGGAAATTGGTGTTATGGAAAAATAATTGGTTTTAAAAAAAATTGGTACTACAAAAATTGGGGTAAAAAAATCTAAGGTATTTGTTGGCTTTGTGTTTTAGGGAAAAAAATTGGCGTAAAAAAAAATAATTGGTGTAAAAAATATGAGTCTTAAAAAAATAAATTAGTGTTAAATAAAAAGGTAAATTGGTATTAATAAAAACAAAGGAGAGTAAAAAATGGGCTAAAAAAAATAATACTAAAAAAAAATTGGGCTGCAGTGGTAAAAAGGGTCAAAAGTTGTGAAGTTGGGGGTTGAATGTGCAACTGTAGTGAAAAGGAGGCTCACTGCAGTGGGGACCGAAGTTTAGGGGTGAAGGTGAAGTCTTCGGTATAGAGGGGCTACTCTGCTGTAGGACCGAAGTTAAAGGGTAAGAAGTAAAACTTGGGTGGTGGAGTGGCTTATATTGCGAAGATGAAATATATGCGAGGGGTATTGTGAAACTTCGCTAAAAAGTCTTCCGTGTTTTCTTTGGGTAATAATGTAATTGCGGATCTTCTAGCCCAGCGGTATCCGGTGTTGCCCTCCCTTCTTGAGGTTGAGGGTTCAAGTCTTGTCGTGGACATAGATGAATTTAAGATGTAGTTTAGGAGTAGGTTAGAATTGCCGTTTCAAAAAAAAAAAAAATGTAAGTGCGGACCGCAGTTTTTTTTTTTTTTTTTCTCTTTATTGTTTTGCGGTGAAATGGGTGGGACCGAGGTTTGGATTTAAAATGTAAGCTTTGTTGATTGGTTGACAAAAAAAAAAAAAAAAACTTAGAGCAATTTGCGATGATGAACGAATTTGTTAAAAATAGGTGGTTTTGATAGGTTTCATGTTTTTTTTTAAAAAAAAAAACTGGGTTTGAAACTTCGAAAAAATAAAAAATAAAAAAAAATAAAAAAATCCGGTGGAGTTGGGTTTAGGATAGTGGAATGATAGTTGGGTTTTAATTGGAGAAAAAAAATAAAATAAAATAAAATAAAAACAATAATAATAGAGGTGGGTAATGTCTTTTGTTTGTGTCAATGGAAAACATAGGTGTTTTCTTTCATGTCACGTGGGTATTTGGGTAATGTGTGTGATAGTAAACAAAAGGACATAAAGTGGTTGTTTTCTCAGTAGCAAAAAAAACTTCATAAACCCGGTATCTTGAATCTGTAAGGTTGCACCTTGTGGTTGTTTTCTCAGTAGCAAAAAAAACTTCATAAGCCCAATTTTTTGCAAAAAAATTGAACGACAACAACATTTTTATTCTTGGATATCTTGAATATGTAAGGTTGCACCTTATGATATGATGAGTCATACACACGACACGCTGATAGATCAACGCCAACGTCTACTACATCTATAGCGCCAACGTATCAAGCTTATTAGCATGAGCTTACAGTTCAATTTGTTGGAGCATGGAAATTCTCTACAAATTATGAGCGATAGTTATGTTATTTTATTCTCTTTATTGTATTATTTAGTTTCTCTCTCCCGATAAATAGAGAGAGATGGTCATTTTACTATAGTAAGAGTGCACAAAATGTAGTTCCTAGTGAGATAGAGTGTGGTGGGATCTCTCCCACCAAGTGAGAGTTATCTCTCCAAACCCATGTTCTTCATGTAATATTTTATTTATCTCTTTCTCTAGTAAATTATGGGATTACTCATCTTTTATGTTCTTTATATTTTTATGATCGTTAAATATCAAGATGTTCTTATTCCGCACAAACCAATCGTCAAAATGGGCTACAACAATTGGTATCAGAGCCATACCTTGAAGGTTCAAGCGACTAGTTCAAGGGAACGACTCCCGATTGGTTCTTATCTTGATGATTTTTTCGATTTTTGCAAGAATTTTCGGGTTCAAAACCGGATGTTCTTATGATGAAATTTTCTATTTTTTAATGTTGATTCAAGCTTTCAAGAATAAAAATGTTGCTGATGTTCATTCATTTTTTCTACTGAAAAATCTGGATTTGCAAAGTGTTTATGTTGCTGTTGAAGAAGAAGAAAAAGGATGACGAAGATTTTTGTTGTCTAAAAATATTTGAAGAATTTGCTCCAGACATTTTATTTATGCTCTGGAAATAGACACAACTATTGAGTTTTTTATTGAAGAAAGTGGAGAAGATTTTTCTTTAAGGTCAATTTCGGAATTATAGTCATATATAGATGTTCGATCGGAATTATTATGCTACTGTGGTGACGATGGTCTCACACTGGACAAAGACAATTGGAAGTATATATCAGAATTGGATACTACAAATTGGAAACGAAATTTAGAAATCGGAATACACTGTTCATAATCCGAACAGTTCCGACGATCGGAACAGATCACAACTGTTGATTGATTCTCAAACGATCGGAATTAATCTGAAACCGGAAAACCTGTGATTGGAATTAACTTAAATCAATCGGAAATTACAAAGATTCAGAAGTATTTCGGAATTAAAATTGATTTCAGAATTTAATTTCAAAGAAATTACAATCGAAAGAAAATCATTCGGAACTGAAACCAAACCTCAGTCGGAATTGCTAATTCAGAAATTGGATGTCATGTGATCGGAACGAAAGCTATAGTTAATACTGAAAATCGGGATTCAATGTCTGTAACACTCAAAAATTTCCAACAAAATTTTCACTTTAAAAAGTTCACAGAAAACATAGTTTAATAATTCTCATGCCAAATTTTTTATTTTTCCCATTCACAAAACATCAGAGTTTCTTGTCAAATATCCCAGAATCCACATAAACACAAATCAACAAGCTGGTGTGTACAATCATGCCGACGCATTTCCGCGATCCTGAGATGTACCTGAAACACATTTTACACAAACATTGTAAGCACGAAGCTTAGTGAGTTCCCCAAAATACCACATACACAAATAGTTAGCCTCTAATGGCTATATCTCGATAAGGACCCTCCGATCATGTGTCTCAGTGAAAACCCTTCGGTCTCACGGCTCAGTATGGACCCTCCGGTCCTGTGTCTCAGTGAAAACCCTCCGGTCTCACTGCTCGATATGGACCCTCCGGTCATAGCTCAATAAATGCACAAAGTAATATACAACAATAATCACAAATACAGAATGCATAATATCACATATCTCAGTATAAGGAAATAAGACCCTCCGGTCAATAACAGAAATAAGACCCTCCAGTCGCACAATAATTACCACTCAGGTAAGTACAATGAGAAGACTCACCTTGTTTTGGAAAAACTGTTCTTTGTTCTTTTGAAACGTGCGTTATGTTTCTCCAGAAAACCTTATATTTTCTGATGTAATAAATGTATAAAACTTAAGTAAAAATGATTCTTACCAGTTCCTCCTGCGAGTACTTAGTGTATACAAATCATATACAATCCAGATCGAACAAACAATCGATTGTGTGGTTCTGCCCCAAGCCCACAACCAAACAAGGAACAGGAAATGAGGCCGAGGCCACACATTCCACAGGTTGTCGGATCCTCATGTACATAATCCTGAAGTATTCACTAGATATTTACAAAGTTAACTGTATTGGTCCTTTGATATCTGTTTGAAAGTGTTCCTCAAGAAAATCCAATATTTTCTTAATGTAAAGTATGATTAAACCCATTCTTTCTATAACTACTTAGCTCATACTAGTTACGTATAAACCAATATCGAATGGACAGTTAATTGCGTGGATCTGCCCTAAACCCACAACCAAACAAGGAACAGGGAATGAGGCGGAAACCACACATTCCACAGTCTATCGAATATTCTTCATACATAACTCGGATGCATAAACTAAGGAATTATAGAATTAATAATGAATATTCGTTAATTGCATAATTAACTAATTGTTTGTAAAGTACCGATGTTTACCCTGGAAAATCCTATATTTTCCCTAAGTGTAAGTTATTGAATCCTCTGTTCCAAATCGTAAAGTACAAGTATCTACCATACTTATGTTGTTTAAACCTTGTTCTGTTTTGAAAACCCTGGCTACCCCTATAATGTATAGTAGTCTTATTACATAAATAAAACTAGTTGAAAACGTGTTGTTCTGTATACTGAAAGTGTTGTTAATACCCTCCTATGATCACTTAGTACATACGAGTTATAGAAATCTAGATCGAACAGACAGTTGATTGGGTGATTCTGCCCTATGCCCACAACCAAACAAGGAATAGAAAATGAGGGGGAGATCACGCCTCCACTGCATGTCGGATGTTAATTTCATATTACCCTAATGTACATACTAAGTCATCACATAGTTACTAACCCTGTTGACTGTTTGTTAA